CCCCCCCCCCGTATTAAACTCGAACGTCCCACCGAAAACCTGTTTCTTCGCTTACCTGTCTCTAGAGATCGGGAGGGCTTTGCATCATGAACATGAATTACCATCGCCCGGGAAGTCTGAGCTTTAGCAGCCGCTCCCAAGGCTCCCTGCCTAACCGGAGCTCTTTGTACCGCGCCAGTCCTGCGTCCTTTCAGTCGGGATTTTTCCGAGGATCTTCCAGTGCCTTCCCGGGCTCTCCTTTTTCTTCTTCGCCTTCTCTCCTTCTCTCCTCGCTGCCCACTTTGGAGATCGACCCGAAGCTGCACCAGATCCGCACGGAGGAGAAGGAGCAGATCAAAGGGCTCAACAACCAGTTCGCCTCCTTCATTGACAAGGTGCGGCCCCCGATACACGTAAAAATATGGTCGCTGTGTAGATCGACCCGAAGCTGCACCAGATCCGCACGGAAGAGAAGGAGCAGATCAAAGGGCTCAACAACCAGTTCGCCTCCTTCATTGACAAGGTGTGTGTTTGTGTGAAAAGATGGGAGACAGACCTTGCACCCATACTTAGTTGCTTCTATAATCAGTAGTGGGGGTAATACTGAAAAGATGGAAATTTATGATTTATTAAAATGAAGACCAGTCTTGTAGCAACTTAAAAAACTAAGAAATTTTATCTAGCATACGTTTTCATGTTATGTGCTGTCAAGTCGGAACCAATTTATAGTGACCCTAATAGGGCTCCCGAGTTAAGTGAGATATTTAAGGAGTGGTTTTATCAGTTCCACTCCTCCAGTGAGTTTCCCTAGTTGAGTGAAGTTTGGAACCTAGATCCCACCATTCCTAGTCCCTCACTCTGTTTAGTGCATGATACACTGGAAAGGTTTTTATGAGAGGCATTAAGAAAATACTATGCGAGTGGTTTTATTAGTTCCATTCCTCCAGTGAGTTTCCCTAGTTGAGTGAGGATTGGAACCTAGACCCCACCATTCCTAGTCCGTCACTCTGTTTAGTGCACAATATACTGGATAAATTTTCATGAAAGGCATTAAGAAAATATTGTGGTACCTAAAACTTACTGGTCTTTTATAAGTGTATTTTTTTCTGCAACAATTTGACACAGATTATTTAGAAATGTCTCTTGTTGGCCACCTTACTGGTCTTTTATAAGTGTATTTTTTTTTCTGCAACAACTTGACACAGATACTGCCATCAGCAAGACATTTAGAAATGTCTCTTGTCGACCATTTTCATCTCTTGGCAGTTGGGGTCCCTGTCTTAGCACTCTCTGATGCAGCATAGTGTCCAAGATTGTTTAACTCAAAAGTTTAATAGGTTAATGTTAGTTATGATTTATGACTAATCACCACAGTGCCAGGAGACATTTAAATACACTGTGTTTTTAATGTCCGTTCCTAAAGTATTTGCTCTTTTGTTTAAAATTCATATGCCTTATCTTTGTTGCAGAAATAATAAATAAAATGGGGATCTTCAGGCTTAACAAGATTAATAAAGCCACTGTTGTTAAAATGCAATGCCATTAAACAGACCACATCCTAGTAATTTTAGGATTAAAACAGAGAGAATTGTGAGTAAAACAGATGAGGGTAATGCAAGCAGCCAAGGAAACATTTAAAAAGGTATATGCTTGAAAGAATGGGAGGAGCAGATTACAAGCCCACAATAATAGCAATGCAAAACTACATAGATGATAAAAAATGGATTTCAAACTTCTTGGGGGAAGAAGATTACAAGCCCACAATAATAACAATGCAAAACTATGTAGATGATAAAAAATGGATTTCAAACTTCTTTGTCCCAGGGCACCTCCAGAAGAAGGAAACTGTAAACCACTTCTGTGTATGCTATACCTAGAAAAGCCCAGAATGGGTTGCCTGAAGTTGGGAGTCAACTTGATGGCACAGATTTATTTGTGTTAATTGGTGCAGGAGTCCTGGTTAATGTCTGTAATCCTGTATTACAGGCTCATTGCCATGTAGGAGCTCCTACAGCTAGTTTTAAATGAAATGCTAAGGAATTGTGACATGAGATCTTAGATCTCCAGCAACTAATCTGTTTTGATCCAGAGTGAAACAGCTAAGGAAAGCATCCAGAGTCTGTAGCTAAGCCTGTGGTGTGTTGCATGCGAAATGTCCAAGGTTGACCTGTGGCATGTCAGGCTAGGGCTGGGAAAGGCTCTGGTCTGATACTCTGGAGAGCGGCAGCCAATATGTAGTCACTATTAAGCCATACAAACCAATGGTTTAACTCCATATGAGACATTTTCCAATGTTCCTGAAGCTTCTTTTCTAAATCTTCTCTAGACTGTATTCAATAGGGGATTCTAGGAATTGGACCTGGACCTTTCTTTATGGAAAGTGTGGGCTCTCTGTGTGAAGCTAGGCACATCCTCCAGTCCAGCTCCCTTAACACTCACTGGTTCCCATTAAGTCAGTGTGGTGTAATATTTAGAATTTTGAGTTTGGGATTTGGGTTCAGGTCTCCACTAATTCATGAAATTTACTGGGTGACTTTAAGCTAGCAATTCTCTCTACCTGACCTTTCTCACCAGTTTGCCAGGATATTAAAGTGGGATAGAGATGAGCTGTCTGTGCTACCTATAGTATATTGTGGGTTTCTAAAGATGGACTTTAAAATTAAAGATGGGGGAGAGAAAAAAGGGAAGAGAAATACATAGGGTGTGATGAAATTGGGCAGACTGGAGAAAATGCAGAATATAAAGTTATAAGAAATGAAAAATACATTGTTGCATTCAGAATAAAGTCTAGCTGGACATTTTTGTCCTTTTGGTATGTATTCGAGGAAGAAAGAAGGGCATTAGAATGCTGTCCTACCCCATGTTAATCGTAGTTTGATTATTAGAACAAGATAGTCAATGGCTGTTTAACTAGCTTTTATTTGTCATTTGTTTGCTGCATTTGTAGCAAAGTTTCCTCTGTGTCCAAGGCAGGCAGGGGAACATTTCTCTCAATTTCACTGTTTAGTCTTCCAGTAACTTGAGAGTAGCTGTAAACTAATTGTTTGCTTAAACGAAAGCTTGTGCTCTTTACCCAGAGACTAGGAAGTAAAACCAGCTCTGATCGGAATGTTAAACTACGGGTGGACTGGTGCTAAAACAAATGTAGAATTCAGAAGCAATGCTGCTAAGTCTTCCCAAGTTGTGAACAATGTACAGAACTATGGTTGTAAAAACAAAGTTCTCAAATGTGTCAACCCCACCATGAATGCAGTACAAATTTCTGTCCACAGATGTTCAGTATTCAAGGAATGGAGGGGAAGAAGAAAACATCCCTTTTCATCTAGTAACACAAACAAAGAAAACACATTATTATGGAAATGAAAACCAGTTCTGGAGTACAGATCTTTTTCAAAAGCTAATGGGCACTCATGGATTGTTCCCTTTAAGTGGCAAGTCTCAGATATGTGAAAGGAACAAAATTCATGTTTCCCTAAATTATTGTGCAGCAGTGGAAATAGCCACCTTTGCAAAACTATCAGTCCTTAACAGCATTCCCTGTTTGTGATGAATTTTCTAAAATGCAGGAATCCTGTCCTCTTTTGCCATTGACTCAGTATACCTCAGTTTGGAACGGGCAGGCAATTGGTGCTTCCCACTGTAGCATGTGCAGCACTTTGGGTCTATAAACACTTATTGTATAATGATTTTTAGTGGTGTGTAAAGATATTGCCTATTCTTGCATTTGCATTTTAACACGAAGTGTGTGTGTTTGAGGAAGAGAGGGAGTGAGAGAGCTACAATCTTAAACAATAATTTTTCAAGCTTTGTTCTCATATGGCACATATTGAAACAAATGGTAACCAAGGACCATTAGAGATGTTGGTTCCTTCTAAACAGTCAGATAAATTTGTTTGATTTCTGAACAGCAATTAGAGGGCATTCAGTTCAGAATGGTTGGTTCTTCACAAAGTGGGTTTCAAGGGCTGCTCACAGATGGCCCGTTGATGGCTACTGGTGAACCTTGACCAAGTCTTCCTAAGGCTCCTTCACAAGTCAGTATCTATGCCCTTCAGTTTATTGTTCCTCTGGTTCTTCTCCACTTCCCAAGGTGCGTAAGCTGGAGCAGCAAAACAAAGTGTTGGAGACACAGCTGAAGCTGCTGAAGGGCAAAGACCAGTACAAGTCGAATGTGGGGCGTATCATGGCAGCCCACAGCCAGCCTCTTAAGCAGCAAATTGATGCGCTGAATCAGGACAAGATGAAGCTGCAAAATGAGTTGGACAACACACAAGCATTTCTGGAGGAACTGAAGAGCAGGTAGAGAATGGGATGGGATGGGACAGGATGGGGGTTGTTCATTGTCATTCATTCATTCATTCATTCAATTTGTATCCCATTTGTATCACAGCACTACTTTGGGTGGATTACAACACGTATTATAGGAAACAAAAATAAAAACAGAGACATTAAAACCAGCAGCAATAATCCTAAAAAACAGATGGCACTGAGTAAACCCTAGAACGGATGGAGGAAAAGAAGGGAGGGAAGAAGAAGAAGAGGGGAAAGAGAAAGGGGTGGAAGGTGGTCAGATGGGGTCAGTGTGGAAAGCCTCCCTGAAAAGCAATGCCTTTAATTGCTTCCTAAATGTCCAGAGAGGCGGCTAATTGGAGCTCCTTTGGAAGCTGGTTCCATAAACTTGGAGTCATCGCAAAGAAGGCCCTACCTCTTGGAGAGAATTTCTGGGCCTCCTACAGGATGGCTGCCCAGAGGGGCCTCGACTGGGATGATCTTGTGGGTCAGGCAGATGACATTAAGGAAAGATGATCCAACAAGAAACTTGGACCCAAACTGTGGAGGGCTTTGTGTGTGAGTATCAAAACCTTGAAACTGATTCAGGACACCACAGGCAACCAAGATGACATTAAGGAAAGATGATCCAACAAGAAACTTGGATCCAAACTGTGGAGGGCTTTGTGTATGAGTATCAAAACCTCGAAACTAATTCAGGACACCACAGGAAAGATGATCCAACAAGAAACTTGGATCCAAACTGTGGAGGGCTTTGTGTATGAGTATCAAAACCTCGAAACTAATTCAGGACACCACGGGCAACCAGTGGAGGCAGGCCAGAACTGGAATGATATGGTCAAATTTACTTGCACCAATCACCAGTCTGGCTACTGCATTCCATACCCGCTGATGGGGAGATCTATTATCAGAGTGGTTTCTTTAAAATGCGGACAGCAGATAGAAGAGGGGTCAAATTTACTTGCACCAATCACCAGTCTGGCTGCTGCGTCCTATACCCGCTGATGGGGAGATCTACGGTATTATCAGAGTGGTTTCTTTAAAACACGGACAGCAGATTTATTAGAAGAGGGGAGATCCTGTTATGAGCAGCAACAACCCTATTCCAAGCAGAGTACAAATCTCCAGTCCTAGAGAGTTTTCAATTTTGGTCCTGATTCCTCCAAGAACCCATGAAGAGAAGAAATCTAAACTGTCTAAGACATAGGCAGACAATGCAGGAATTACCACCTCGGTCCCTGGCTTCTTCCCAGGGAAAAGGGTTGGCTTCTGTGGCGTTTGCCCTAGTGGCCCTTGCTTGTTTTCCCCTCACAGCATTTTCTTCTCGCTGCCACCAGTGGATTACTTCAACCCACAATATAAATGATGTTTGTCTTGTGAACAGAAACAGAACTTATTTATTGAAGTGAAACAGATTGAATAACAGAAGTTTCTCAGATACACATTGTACATAAGCAAATCATCAAAAGTTCTCTCAGTACATGCTTCTTATCTCTTGCAATCCCATTACCACCTTCTCTACCTATTTTCCTAACCAGCTCTATCTCTCTGACTAACCAGCCCTATCTCTCTCAGTATCTCATCTTTATCTCTATATCAGTTTCAGTTCCCTCTCTGACTAATCAGCCCTCTCTATATCTCTCTGCCTAACCAGCTCTATCTCTCTGACTAACCAGCCCTATCTCTCTCAGTATCTCATCTTTATCTCTATATCAGTTTCAGTTCCCTCTCTGACTAATCAGCCCTCTCTATATCTGTCTCTATCTGCTTCTCATCCCAATCTCTATCTGACTCCTCCTTCTCCCACCAAGCCTCATGTAGCTGCTGACTCCGCCTCTCTAGCCCTCTCATAGGTTCATGCAAATCAGCTCACGAATATGAATAGCATGAGTGACATGGGCGATTGCCACAGCTTCCATCTTGATTTTTTCAAAATCTCCAACTGGAAATCTCTAGAAATCTCTTTACTCTTAAAAGCCTATGCCGAAAGCAACCTGATCTCTTCCTTTCCCTCCATCTTAAAAAGACAAACAAACCAAAAACCAGTAGATTCCTTCAAACAAGGTACCCAAGATGAACCAAAGCCATGGTAGAGACCAGAGGATGACATTTTGGGAAATACTATGTAAACATTAGGCATAGCTAAGTATTCAGTTTGCTCAGCAAACTATTTATGAAGTGTTCTTTAAGGTACCTCACACGTAGCATCTCCCCTATCTCTCTCAACTACAGGTATGAAGATGAAATCAATCGGCGTAATCAACTGGAAAATGAATTTGTGGTAACCAAGAAGGTGGGTCCCAGGCATGTAAGACAGCACTGACATGTAAAGGAACTGGTCAGACCTGAGTTGGCTTCATTATTAAGCAGTTATTTTGGAAGCTCCTGCTATGGTTGTTGGGACAGAAGATGCAGCAGCCAATGGTGGGCATAGCTACTGATAACAGTGTGCGGCTTCTCTTTTTCTCCCACCTTTTCCCCACACTCACACAGACTGTGTTGGGAGCTTCAAAGTTCAGCCTCATCACACAGGCAGGGCTGTGACTCTCTGCCTCTAATGAGAAATCAGGCAGGAATCAGCTGCCTGGCATAGCCTGAGCTTTAGATGGGGGTAGTGCCCAATTTGGCCTAATGGATCAGCCAGAAATGATGGAACCTCCTGAAAACCAGTTGCATTCTTGGAGAAGTATACAAACACCCATTCATGCAGCCCTAGGCCACTCTACACTGCTGCATCATGGGATGACAATGCACAGACTAGCCTTGCATGTTCTTTCCCCCCTTATGGAGTGTGCCCGCAATTCCCTGAGACAGTTCTGTGCAGCTTATGTGATGATGTCTTCAAAACATACCTGAGTATTGAAAGATCTGGTTGCTTCAGTACAGGGCTAGTAAGAGCAGCAGTAGCGGCCAGCCAGCCCTGTCTCTTGGAGGACAAAGATGTGTATATCACATGACCCAACACCCCCAAACTAGCCTACTGCCTTTAGGGGTTGTGGAAGCTGTGGACTTGTTCCCAGTTGTAACTCTTGGGTTCTAAATGTAAAACAGAGGGTCCTTATGAAGCCTGTAGGCAGCAAAATGTCTTGGATGAAGCCTGCTCTTTAGTACACAGCACTTTTTGAGACTTAATGAATGTGACAGCCATTGTACACAGAATCCTGTTCTGATAAGGATCCACTGTCTGCTTTGGTTTTGTAACAGGACCTGGATGATATCTACCTGCAGAAAGTGGATATTGAGTCCAAGGTAGAAGGCATTTCCAATGAAATCAAATACCTCAAGCAACTCTTTGAAGAGGTGGGTGTCTGATTGAGGAGTGGAGGTATTTGCTATGCTTGGTGAGGGCAGGAAGGATCTTCATTCTTTTCTTCCATCTGTGAGTTAGTGACTCCGTGAAAGAAGATAAGGGAATAGTGTATAAAGATGTGGCCTAAGAAAGCCCCAAGTTCTCTTCCATATGATCAGGTGTTGTTGGAACTGGACTACAGTCCCAAATTGCATTATTATTTTTTTGACACTATTTCTTCATCAACCCCATCCAGGAGATCCGTGAGTTGCAGTCTCAGATCCAAAATTCAATGGTCACTTTGGAGATGGACAACAACCGGGAGCTGGAGATGAAGCATATAATTGATGAGGTGAAGGAACAATATAAGACCATGGCTGCGAAAAGTCGTGAGGAGGCTGAACAGTGGTATAAAAACAAGGTGGGAATTTTACTTCCATCCCCCTCAGTTCAGACTGTATTCCACACACATCCGAATACACTCAAAGATATAGGTATTTACTCAGACACTGAGGACAGATATTCCTTTTTATTCTCTCTCTATCCATGAAATCTGGAATCTGGAACTGAAAATTCTGTTTTGCTAACAGGAAAGCAATAACAAAACAAGTAGTTCAATGTCAGTTATGCAAAAACAAACTAATCAGGCCTTGGAAAGAGGAAAGGAGTTTATTATTGTTGTTGTTGTTGTTGTTTTGTTAGTAGAGTCCTGCCACTCATTGGGATCTAGAAAATTATAAGATTAGCAAGGACACTAAAAAGTATGAAAAGGACAAGGAAAAGTGGCATCAGAAGCATCAGAGGTGACAGAAAGGGGAGAGAAGTTGGCAGAAGCTGCTTCCCCCCCCCAAGTCATTTCTGAGTGCATGGACCAAGGAGGAAACCATGTTGGGCAAATTAGTGGGAACACCCCTTGCAGAGAGTGGAGGAATACAGAAGGATTTTGGAAAATATCCTGGCCAGTAAGTCAAGATATATGTTTTATATAAAGAAACCTTTATGAACTTAAAACAATGACACAGAAGAAAGCTAGGCTTAATGAGTTAGTAAAAGTGGATTAGATCCTACAACTCTTCAAGCCACAGTAGAAGTGAGCCTCCCCACATCCCTCAGCTTTGACTGGGAAAAGGAGAAGAAAGAGAAGGAGAAAGAGGGAGGAGGGGAGAAAGTTATTTGGTGAATGAACTGTTTTAATCAAAGGCAAAGACTCAGTCCCACGAGACAGGCTAACCATAAATTGTCTAATTACAATGCTGATGGAGGAAACTAGAATCAGAAAATAGAACTGTGGAACTTAAGAAGCGTCTTAGATTGTGTAACATCACTGGATTGGAGGCACCCTTGTTTCCTTTGGCACCGTGGTGGAGGTGAACCTCCTGTAACACGGAGCAGCTTTGATTGGAGGGTGAGATGGAAGGAGAAGGACATTAAATGAAATAAACTATTTTCACTGGGTAGGACAAGAACCAATGGGTGGAAACTCATCAGGGGGAGATCCAACCTGGAAAAAAGGAGGAATTTCCTGATGGTGAGAACCATTAAGCAGTGGAACAGCTTGCCGCCCAATGTTGTGGGTGCCCCATCACTAGAGGTTTTCAAGAAAATATTGGACAGCCATCTGTCTGGGATGGTATGAGGTCTCCTGCCTTGGGCAGGGGGTTGGACTAGAAGACCTCCAAGGTCCCTTCCAA